ATTTTCTATTAGTGGAAAGTCAAATAGGGGTTGGGCACCTAACTCCCTTAGCCACCTGCAAATATCCCACCTCATACTCATCCTAAGACATTAAGACTCCAGCACAAAAAGAGAGTCCTGTTTTGTCTTTTAATGTTCTCGTGGTGAGGGCTAAAGAAAGCTTCCATTAATATAGAGATATATTTTCAAAATCCATTTCAGTGTATGTCCTCCAATAATAAAAGAGCCCTCTTTCTTCACTTCTTTATTCTCTCTCGGGTTAATTTTGACACCAAAAAAGCATTTTATCTTGCACCATAGAGGACATGGAGAGTTTTGCTGTTGACCTCAATAAGTGCAGGTTAAGACCCATAAAGATTAATAACCTTTCTTAAATAGGAAAAATGAAGTTCAGGTTACCTGGTACACATAATTGTTATGTAGTCTGACTAATAAATACTAAGGCATTGCTGAAGTATTTTATTAAAGGTATTAGCTTAATTGATCAAGCAAGCAGTATCTCAAAACAAATTGTGTGATATCTAGGCTTACTATAAGTACCTACTTAGCAACATACATTTATATTTTTTCTTACCATACTTTCAGTGTGGTCACTACACTTGGTGAAGTATAAAAATATTGCACACATAAAATAAGTTGCAAATAATCCACACTCAGGACTAATGCTCTATTCCAGAAATAAAATATGTGAAATGGTAATTGTCAATAAGGACGCACTTTATTTTCCCTGCTAGACCACTTTTATTGTGAGGGTGAGTAATCCCATGGCTAATTAAATGCAAAACTGAGTGAATTCTTAATAGAGTGCTACTATTATTTATATGACAGTATAACACAAAATGTTACAGGCACTTTCCAATCAATCACTAAAGGAAGTGCTCCTGCCCTGAAAACCCAAGAATCTGAGGCCATTATTTTGCAAACGCTTAGGCTTATGATTCACTTTATGTATGTGAACAACCTTCTTGACTTCACTGGAACTGTTAATGTCCCTGAAGCACTTGTTCACATTTATGCACATGAAGTCCTTTTGACAAAAAAGGGCAACACAAGTGTGCAGTGTTAAGTTTGTGTACGTAGAAATGGAGCCTACATAATTTTCTGCGCAATTCTATTTTTAGAATTAAGTCTGATAGATATTTGCACATTTAAAAGATATTACAAATGCAGCTACAGTAATTCAATGTGAAAATTCAAATTTTGAAATGTACATCTTTCTACAAATAAATTAAGAGGTTCTATATATAACATACAGAATATGTGGCTGTGTCGTGGATTCTATTATAGATAGTCCATGTCATTCCTTTCCTATACTGTACATTCAGGTGCAGCTGAGGTGCATGAACCAAAACTTTATTATTAGATACAATACCTTTGATATCATACTCCTACCACCTCCTATCTTCTTACTCTTCTTTCTTCACATTCAATATTTTCTTTTTAGCATCAATTTTTTCAACATCATAATCTGAAAAAGGTACTTCCATGTTAAAACATTCTATTGGACAATATACATTGCCTTATATTTCTCACTATTTTGTATATACAATTATATTTAAATGAAATTCATTACTTAAATCTCTTAACTTCATTAATAAGTCTGTTAAAGTGTCAGAAGACACCCTTTAACAAATACAGCATGTTACAAAATATATTTTGATTATAGTAATTCATTGTATAGTTCACACGTTAAATAATCCTGTGAAATTTACTCAAAACCTCTGGGCTGTTTATGTGAATACATTACTAGAATGTACAGGTATAACTAATGTTATACATTTGTCATGCAGGATGAGACATTCTTGGTCAGAGATTGTTCAACAAATTCAAGTGATGAACCATATGTTTTAGTCATATATTATGGAAACAAGATATACAATATTAAAATACGTTTTCTGGAAGACAGCCAGCAGTATGCATTGGGAACAGGGCTCAGAGGAGACAATGTGAGTGAAATACCATCTGATATTCTACTTTATTGTTTACCTGTTGCCCTTAACAGCTCTAAATACTATAGGGAATTAATTATAAAACACCTAGAATAAAAAAGACTAACTTGTTAGGTGTTTCATTAAAAGTTTCACTTCAAAATCTTAATTTCAAATATGTCAGCATTTCAAGCAATTGCTAAGTCACAGGAATAATATAAGGCCTCATTTTACATGCTCAAATTCCCATTTAAAGCTAGCAGGAATTTTGCCTGAGTAAGAACAGTTCTGGCCTATACAGATTTGAAATGACACACACAATTTTCTTTGAATATTTTTTCCATTTTTTAATTTATGCCCCTGACAGCACTCCTAAGTTCTGAAGGCAGATTCCCTTCAGTGAAGGCAGGTTTAGCAATGAGGGAGGTTCCCCAGCCCAGGTACAATGAGTTAGATTTGGAAGTAGGTGGTTAGAATAATTTAATAATCACAGTGTAGATTCCAGCTGTTAACTTCAGCTGTTAAGGGGGCCATCTACACCAAGAATACAGATGTTCTATCCCTTAGATTCAAAGGGCTCATCCACAAGTTGTTGCTGGAGTCTACTAATATTGACTGTGACATGCTCTGAAATACTGTTTGTCAGCTCTGAGCCTGCTAGACCTTTTCCTGGAATCACAGTAAGATCGAGAAATAGAGATGCTGTTTCCATCTCACTAAGAGAGGGAGATACATTCAAGCTTGTCTGACTCTTCAAGTGTTGCGGCTTCTTGGAACTTCTTGCCACGAAGGGCTCCTTGCATATTACCTCTGCTCTCTCAAAAGGGAGAAGGGACTGGTCTTCACTTGACACTGTGACCAGACTTTGCCTAAGTTTCCAAACCTTTTATTTAAAAAAACCATGCACAGTCACTCCTTGTGAATATTTAAGTGAAATCAATAAACTGAGCATCACATTTTTGGATGACTCTCTTCCAAGCAACACCACCGAAGTGGAGGCTGGTGAATGACATCTTGCCATTCACAAGATGCACAGCTGAGATTGTTTTAATGGAGTCAGTCAAAATAAAAAAGGCTCCAAAACAGAAGACAGAACTCTCTCATAAATGGAATGAAACTGACAGTTCAGGACACATACAATGGCACAGAATGCTGCCAAGTTTCAGACATTTCACACTTGGGGGGGGGGGGAAGAAGAGATGAGGGGAGATCTTTATGGTCTTATAAATGCAAATAACTTTGAGGGGGAAAAAGTGTCTTACAATGATGTGATAATAGTAGAAGGGCAGATACAAATTCTGACTTTTGGGTCCTTCCCATCTGCTGAGATGCAAAGTTGGTGTAAGTAGGTTCTAATTTGTCCAAAGGACACATTCACACCCTAGACATCAGATCTGCACCAAAAGTACTCAGATTACAATGCTGTTTTATTTTCAAAAATAAGCATCTTAATTGTATCTCTCAGTTCTTATTGTAATACTGGTTGGTTTCAGCTGAGAAAAATCTACAATTACGAGAACTGGCTTAAATCCTCCATTATTTTAATATTGACGGTATGAGTGAGAGAGAGAGAGTGTGTGTGTGTGTGTGTGTGTGTAAGAAAATAACTTTCACAGAAATCAAACAATATATATTAGC